CTATGTCGAGGGGCGGCAGCGCGCTGCTCCTCACTCCTCGTTTCCCTCGACGACTGCTCCCTTGCAGACGCTCCATATGGACGTGTGGGGCCCAGCCCGCGTCCGTGGTCAGGGTCAGGAGAGGTACTTCCTGATCGTTGTTGACGACTACTCGCGCTACACCACGGTCTTCCCCTTGCGCACCAAGGGTGAGGTCCCTGATGTTTTGATCCCTTGGATCCGCAGAGCTCGTCTCCAGCTCAGCGAGCGTTTCCGCTCGGACTTTCCTGTCCTGCGCTTGCACTCTGACAGAGGTGGTGAGTTCTCCTCCGACCTCTTGGCAGCCTACTGTGCTGAGCATGGCATTGAGCAGTCGTTCACGCTTCTGGCCTCTCCACAGCAGAATGGGGTTGTGGAGCGCCGCATTGGCCTGGTCATGGAGGTCGCTCGTACCTCCTTGATCCATACGGCTGCCCCCCACTTTCTGTGGCCGTTTGCGGTCCGGTACGCTGCGCATCAGCTCAACCTCTGGCCCCGTGTCTCCTTGCCGGAGACCTCGCCCACACTGCTGTGGACGGGGGAGGTTGGCAATGCGTCGCGCTTTCGGGTCTGGGGATCTCGAGCTTTTGTCCACGATTCGTCTGCGGACAAGCTCTCCTCTCGTGCTGTTCCCTGCGTCTTCCTCGGCTTTGTTCCGGACGCGCCTGGTTGGCAGTTTTACCACGCCACCTCGCGCCGGGTCTTGCCCTCTCAGGACGTCCGTTTTGACGAGTCTGTCCCCTACTACCGCCTCTTCCCCTACCGCACTGCCCCGCTCCCACCCCCGCCTCTCCTCCTCGCGCCAAGTGCTGCTGTCGTAGACCCCCTCCCCCCTCATGATGCCGCTCCCTCAGGTGTGTCTCAGGTAGACCCGGTCGAGCCTGTTGAGGTTGCTATCGACTCTCGTCCTGCTGGGGGTGCCGAGCCTGGGGGTACGGACTCTGAGGGTGCTGAGCCTGGGGTTGCGGACTCTGGGGGTGCTGAGCCTGGGGGTGCGGACTCTGAGGGTGCTGAGCCTGGGGGTGCGGACACTGGGGGTACTGAGCCTGGGGGTGCTGAGCCTGGGGGTGCGGTGACTGGGGGTGCTGAGCCTGGGGGTGCTGGATCTGGGAGTTTTGACTTTGGCGGTACTGGGCCTGAGGGTACTACACCTGGACGAGACCTCTCCTCGGAGCAGTTGCGTGAGTCGTACTTACAGTACTGCAGCCTCCGGAGAGGTACCTCTGGGACCAGGCGCACTACAGGGACTGGTGCTGGTACTTCTCCTCCTAGTTGGGAGCTCCCCTCTCGTGAGCGGATCCGTGAGTGGTACGAGCGCCGTTGCACACTTTGGAGTGGTGCGCCTCGTCTCACGGACCCGGCTGCTGCTGGTGCTACGGACCCGGGCGTTGGAGCTGCTGCTGGTGCTGCGGACCCTGGCGTTGGAGCTGCTGCTGGTGCTGCGGATCCGAGAGTTGGAGGTGCTGCTGGTGCTGAGGACCCGGGCGTTGGGGCTGCGGCTGGTGCTGCGGACCCTGGCGTTGGAGCTGCTGCTGGTGCTGCGGACCCTGGCGTTGGAGCTGCTGCTGGTGCTGCGGACCCGGGAGTTGGAGGTGCTACTGGTGCTGTGGACCCTGGTGTTGGAGTCCCTGCTGGTGCTGAGGACCCGGGCGTTGGAGCTGCGGCAGGTGCTGTGGACCCTGGTGTTGGAGCCACTGCTGGTGCTGAGGACTCGGGCGTTGGTGTTGAGGCTAGTACTGAGGACCTGGGCGTTGGAGCTGGTGCTGGTTCTGGTACTGCCGCTGGGGGTACAGGTGCTGTCCCTGCTGTGTCTGGAGTCGCCGCGCGCCCTCAGCCGTACTTCGTTCCGCTCCTTCAGCAGGTTTTTGGTCTCTTGCCTCCTCCTGGTCCTCCTCCCTTAGCGTGTTCACAGCCTGTCCCGTCACAGTTACAGTTGCAGCCGGCCTCCCCACTACCTGCTCCTTCTTGTTACACTGGTCCTACTGGCGGTCTTACTGAGCGTCGTGAGTCTGCGTCTCGTCCTGCGTCGCCTGTCCGTCATGCTAGCGCTAGTGCTCGTAGTTCGCGCCAGCGTCCTCCTCCTGCCCCTGGCACGCACCGGATGTCTCTACGTCCGTCTACTGCTCCTCTGCGTGCCCCTTTGCCTTCTCCTCCTGCGTCCTCTCTTCCTGCTCTCGCCGACCCTGCGTCGGACTCTCTTCGTGCTGCCAGTCCTACTGTCACGCGTCTCCTTGCTACTGCCGTCACTGACCCTTCTTTTGAGTCTTCTGCTGCGTCTGCCCTAGTTGCTGAGCTCGTCGACTTTGCTGCTCGCTGTCGCCTAGACTACGCTGCCAGTCTTGTTGCTGAGTCTGAGTCTGTCTGTCCACCGTCCGTCGGGGGTGCGTGTGCCCTTGGCACGGATGTCCTCGAGGACAGGCAGGAGGATTTCCAGTGCCTGGCCGCTGCTTCACCTCATCTTGTGTCCGTAATGCTTAACCCTGAGGGAGACCCGAATGCACTTGACATCCCGACTCCGCGCTCTTACGCGGAGGCGATAGAGGGTCCCTACTCCTCTCAGTGGCAGGCAGCTATGGATGCAGAGATGGCTTCCTGGAAGTCCACAGGCACCTACGTTGACGCTGTCCCCCGTCCTGGGGCGAACATCGTCAGTGGCATGTGGATCTTCAGGGTGAAGCGGCCGCCGGGTTCTCCGCCTGTCTTCAAGGCACGTTACGTGGCTCGTGGCTTCAGTCAGCGGCAGGGAGTTGACTACTTTCAGACCTTCTCCCCCACCCCGAAGATGACCAATCTTCGGGTACTGCTGCACGTTGCTGCTCACCGGGAATACGAGCTGCACTCTCTCGACTTCAGCACAGCTTTTTTGCAGGGCAGCCTGCACGACGAGATCTGGCTGCGCCGCCCACCTGGCTTCTCTGGGTCTTTCCCTCCTGGTACCCAGTGGAGTCTCCGGCGTCCAATCTACGGTCTCCGCCACGCGCCACGTGAGTGGCACGACACACTGAGGACTACGCTTGCGGCTCTTGGGTTTGCTCCTTCTACTGCCGACCCGTCGCTGTTTTTGCGCACCGACACCTCTCTGCCGCCGTTCTACATCCTCGTGTACGTCGACGACTTGGTCTTTGCCACAGCTGACACTACTGGAATCGCCTACGTGAAGTCCGAGCTGCAGAAGAGACACACGTGCACTGACCTGGGTGAACTGCGCAGCTATCTTGGCTTGCAGATCACCCGGGACAGAGCACGCCGCACCATTACCCTGACTCAGTCACACATGGTGCAGCAGGTCCTTCAGCGCTTTGGCTTCACGTACTCCTCGCCTCAGGCCACTCCTCTGTCTACTCGCCACTCGCTCTCAGCTCTGCCTTCGGATGAGTCCGTAGAGTCGAGTGGCCCGTACCCAGAGCTTGTTGGCTGTCTCATGTACCTGATGACCTGCACACGACCTGACCTTGCATACCCTCTTAGCATTCTTGCACGCTATGTTGCTCCTGGGAGACACCGACCAGAGCACATGGCTGCAGCGAAGAGGGTGTTGCGCTACTTGTGCAGTACGTCGGGCATGGGGCTAGTGCTTGGAGGGCGGAGTCCAGTGGTCCTCACAGGACACGCAGACGCTTCTTGGGCTGACGACCAGGCTACGCAGCGGTCGTCACAGGGTTACACCTTCAGCCTTGGTTCCGGCTCTGTTTCGTGGCGGTCTACTCGCTCGTCTTCTGTTCTCGGCTCCAGTTGTGAGGCTGAGATCTACGCAGGGGCCATGGCTGCTCAGGAGCTTCGCTGGCTCACCTACTTGCTGACCGACCTTGGAGAGCTGCCTCGTTCTCCTCCAGTCCTGTACGTCGACAACAAGGCCATGCTGGCCTTGTGTCGAGAGCAAAGACTGGAGCACAGAACAAAGCACATTGCTCTCCGCTACTTCCTTGCTCGTGAGCTACAGCAGCGTGGTCAGTTGCGACTTGCGTACGTGGCCTCTGAGGCCAACACTGCTGATGTCTTCACCAAGGCACTTGCGCCTTGTGATCATCAGCGCTGCTGTACCCAGCTGGGTCTTGTGTCTGTCTTGCCTCACTTGCTCTCCTCTTGACCCTCTTTGTACTGTTACATATATATATTACTGCTCTTGCTTGTTTAGTCTTATATATATATGTACTCCTGCATGTGAACTGGCCTTGTGGCCTTGAACTTGTGCTCGGATTGTGTGGTGACGTTGTGATCCACCCTGAGCTTGCTTTGCTTTGCTTTGCTTTACTTGACTGGTCTTGTGACCCCTAGTTCTCCCCCACTTCGCCTATGGGGGTGTGTCAAACATTATATATGTTGTTGTAGTTGTTTGGGCTACAGTGGGTTAGTCTATAGGGAGTACACATTTCTAGGTTTTCATTCTTGTACTCATTTCAGTGTTAGTTCATTCATTCTTGTTCAACAGCGAGTAGGCAGAGGAGTGGCCTGAGGCGAGGAGTACGTGAAGTCGAAGCGCTGAAGGACCTGCTGCACCATGTGTGACTGAGTCAGGGTAATGGTGCGGCGTCCTCTCTCCCAGGTGATCTGCAAGCCAAGCTAGCTGCGCAGTTCACCCAGGTCTGTGCACGTGTGTCTCTTCTGCAGCTCGGACTTCACGTAGGCGACTCCAGCAGTGTCAGCTGTGGCAAATACCAAGTTGTCGACGTACACGAAGATGTAGAACGGCGGCAGAGAGGTGTCGGTGCGCAGAAACAACGACGGGTCGGCAGTAGAAGGAGCAAACCCAAGAGCCGCAAGCATAGTCCTCAGTGTGTCGTGCCACTCACGGGGCGCCTGGCGGAGACCGTGGACTGGACACCGGCGTCCAGCACACCAGCACCTCCGGGACCCGCGACACCAGCCTGAAGGAGCAGCGTACCGAACCGCAAACGGCCACAGAAAATGGGGGGCAGCCGCATGCATCATGGACGTACGAGCGACGTCCATGACCATGCCAATGCGGCGCTCAGCAATCCAATTTAGCTGTGGAGAGTGCGGAAGCGTGAAGGTCTGACGGATGCTTCGTGCACGACAGTAGGCTTGCAGAAGGCCAGAGGAGAACTCTCCGCCTCTGTCAGAGTGCAGACACAGAAAAGGAAAGTCCGAGCCGAAGCTCTGCCTGAGCTGGAGACAAGCTGCGTGGATCCAGTCGATCAACACCTCAGTGACATCACCCTTGCTGCGCAAGGGGAAGACTGTGGTGTAACGCGAGTAGTCGTCAACCACCAGCAGGAAGTAGCGCTCGTGACCCTGTCCACGGACGCGGGCTGGGCCCCACACGTCCATGTGAAGCGTCTGCAGCAGGGCCTCTGTCGGAGGAAACTGGGAGGAGTGAGGGGCAGCCCGCTGCCGCCCCTCGACACAGGGGACATAGGTAGGGCCAGGCCCAGGAGGAAGGGGAGGGAGGGACCGGGGAAGACCAGGAACAAGGAAACGGGAGGCCATGCCTCTGAGACGAAGCAGAGAGGGGTGACCAAGGCGGTGGTGCCAGAGGAGAGTCTCGTGAGACAGGAGACGAAACGAACAGGGGGCAGACTCAAGACCAGACCTGGACGCTGCAGCAAACACCTGACCAGACGCAGCTACCCGCCCAGACGCAGTGACTGGAGGAGACTCAGTAATCAGTGTGTACAGGCTCGACCCCGGCTGACGTGTAAACGTGGCCAAGTGTCGGCCTGTCCGAGCCTCAGTGCAGTGTGTCACCCGCTGACTCGCAGGAGTGACCTGGTGCACCCCCCCATCCTGTAGGTCAGCACCACTCACCAAGTTCGTAGAGAACGAGGGGAGGTAAAGACCAGACAGGATGCCAGAGGGAGCCGCCGGACACGGGAGGACTGTGGAGAAGTGAGCAAGGACAGGACCCCCAGAGGGGTCAGCCAGAGACACTGCAACCGGTCGACCAAGCGGCGTGAGTGAGGTGCGGTCTCGAAAGAAGGAGCGAGAAGCCCCAAAGTCAAGGGTGAAGGTGAGGGAGGCCGAAGCCGACGCAGTACCTGAGAGAGCAGACTCACCAGCATCTGAGAACGCAGACGCACTAGCACCTAGAGCAGCAGCCTCGCAAGCACCTAGAGCAGCAGCCTCACCAGTACCTAGAGCAGCAGTCTCAATGCTCGGATCAGGCGGGAAACATCAGTAACAGTCACCCTCATCACTAATAGTCACAGCATACATGGCAGACGAATAGCATCAAAGTCAAGGTCAAAGATAGCTACCCCCGCCCTAGACATCTCGCCCTTGCGAGGGATCTCTGTGGCCTCAGGGAACTGGTGACGCCACGCGTCCGTCAGGCGGCCAAAGCAGCGCTGGGTGGGGTGCGCACCCCCACACTGCTCACCCGCACGGTCGCCGGTGCGCAGGACGTAGGTGCACGAACCAGTACCCCCACCCCGCTGGCGTGCAGCGTACCATTCACGGAGCTACTGAGGGGACACGGTCTCATGGCCGCGCTGCTGCTGCTGACGCGGACCACCACCGGAGCCACTCCTCTGCGCAGAACTGCGACCAGCTCCACCGCCACCTCCGCTGGCTCCGCCACCTCCGCCGCCTCCGCCACCACTGCCGCCTCCGCTCCCTCCGCCACCACCGCCGCCGCATCCGCTTCCACTGCTGCCACCGGCACCTCCACCCCCTCGACCACCCCCACTCCCACCCCCACCCCCTCCGACGGCTCCACCGCCACCTCCACCGCCCCCACCAGCTCCTCCAGCGCCCTTGCCCCTCTTGCTCTTGCCTGTGCGGCGCTTCCCCGAAGGGGCAGACGCAGCGCCGACCGACTCAAAACCAACAAGGTCGGCCGCAGCAGCAGAAGCAACAGAGGGCAAGAGGGGGGAGGGAGAACACCCCTCAAAGACGGGGTGCGGGGGTCACCACGAGAGGCTCCTATAGCGACTATGCTCTTCTCCGCTACTAGGAGGGCCTTCTCGAGGAGGTCAACGGTGAGAGTGGTGGGATAGACTGAGAGGAAGTGGTCCCTGACTAAGCGAAGGGAGTCAGGGAGCCGGGTGACTATGTAGTAGAGGGTGATATACATGGGGGGGGGGGGGGTTCTTGGCGCAGAATTCAGCAGGAAGCATAGCGCGGTAGCGAGTGTCACTAGTGCGGAGGTGCGTAATGAGGTCAGAGACTGTGGGAAAGGCAGCAAGGTCAGGGAAGAGGTACGGTAGCATGAGGCGGCTCAGTGCAGCAGTGGCAGGGGAGGAGTAGCATGCAACTACAGCGCCGTACAAGGTCTGAGCACTCTTGTACTGACTAAAGTGCGCACGCTCAGAGGTAGGCAGGTGGCGACGCACAGCAAGACGGGCAGCAGCATCGCGTGTGGCCCACTGTGAGCAAACAGTGGCGTCAGCATCAGCAGCAGGGGCAGGAGAGGCACCAGAGGTGAGGTCAAAGAGAGAGAGACCGTCTGCCCTATCGCACTGTAAGAAAAGCTGCAGGTCATCTATCCAGACGTCAAAGTCAATGGCCCGACCCTTAGCGTCAAAAGCGAGGACACTAGGGGTAGCCATGACAGCAGTGGACTAGTAGCGCGAATAGTAGGGTAAGGTCAGTGCAGTGACAAAGGCGCTGCACTTACCGGACAGGGCTGCTCGGGCGGCTCGGCGGTGCGGGCGGCTCGGCTGTAGGGCGGCTCGGCGGCGTGGCGGCTCGGCTGCTGGGCGGCTCGGCGGCTCGACGGCTCGGCGGCTCGGCGGCTCGGCGGCTGGGCTGCTGGGCGGCTCTGCGGCTCGGCTGCTAGGCGGCTCGACGGCGGCGGCTCCTCCCTCCGGGACGACGGCGGCCGCCCGCTGGAGGGGCCAGGTGGAGCGGCGGCTCGAGGGTAGGTGGAGCGGCGGCTCGAGGGTAGGTGGAGCGGCGGCTCGAGGGTAGGTGGAGCGGCGGCTCGAGGGCAGGTGGAGCGGCGGCGAGGCTGGGTGAGGCGGCGTCGGGGCCGGGAAGGGCTGCGCTGGGGCCGCAGGAGTAGGCGTCGGGACCGGGTAGGGTGGCGCACGGCGGGCCTACGGGCGGCTCGTAGGGCCGCAAGGGCGGCGTGCTGAGCCGACGGGCGGCGACGGCGGGCCGTAAGAGGGCGGCGCGAGGGGCCGCGGAGGTCGGCGACGGGCCGTAAGGGCGGCACGCGAAGCCGCGAAGGGCGGCGACGGGCCGTGAAGGGTGGCGCTACGGGCCGCACAGGACGGCGCCGAGTCGTTAGGGCGGCGCGAGGGGCCGGGAAGGGCGGCGATGGGCCGTGAAGGGCGGCGACGGGCCGCGAAGGGCGGCGACGGGCCGAGAAGGGCGGCGACGGGCCGCGTAAGGGCGGCGCGAGGTGCCGCTAAGGGCGGCGCGACGGGGCCGGAGGAGGCCTAGGAGGGGCGCGACGGTAGAGAGGGCACCCGGGGCGCGACTCGTGAAGGAGCGAAGCGCGCTTCGGGCAGAAAAAAAAGTTCGATTGGGTGGGCCCTAGATAGCGTTCCCACGAGGGAACCCGCTCTATACCATGTGAAAGGAAACGAGACTGGATGAACTATGAAACAAGTGGGTACAAGTACTAGTCCTAATTGGGTTGTACCCCCTATGGGATACCCCACTACATCCTACACAATATGTATAAGCTACAATGTTCTGACACTTTGCAGGGGTGAACTCTGGGTAGGGCTAACATAGTAGCGGAAGCGTTCAATGAAGAGTTGTGAACCACCTTGCGCTAGTATGTGAGGGCAAAGTAAGTTGATTAAAACAAAGAGATACAAGCTTCTATATAAGAGTACAAGGAATATGAAGGGGTACAGTTATAACTGTTCTGCTGTTGCGGTTCGATACAGTGACGACTCGGGCAACTGCTCTGTAGCGAGTCAATTGTGTGTCCTTGCTATCGCGCTGTACTTGTCAGGTCAAAGGTCGCTGACCTTTGACTTTCGCGTAACCTCCAGCAGTTACTTCAACCTCCGAGGGTTGACTCGCTGGTGCCTCGATATGCTTCGCTTCGCTTGTGCCTTGGTGTTTCGACACGACAAAGGCGATTAAGCTTGATTGTTTCCAACACTCCCCTTTGCTTCTGGAGTGTCGCTGTTGGTGACGTGGCTCTGTCCAATCAGCAGCATGCAATATTCGAATTCTGTTTTCCGAGCTTCTTGGTCAAGTAGTCAGCTGCCATCTCAGACGTGGGGCAGTATGACAGCTCGAGCCTCCCTTTCTTGATCTCGTCCTTCACGAAGAAATATCGCAGGGCGATGTGTTTTGTCCTGTTCGCGAAGCCGTTCTTGTTGGCGATGCGAATTGCCGACTGGTTGTCGCAGAACAGGGTGAAGCTGGGGAGCTAGCTTCGTTTCTTCCAGTAGTTCGCGAAGGTAGTCCTTCCTTGGTGGCTGAGCAGAGTGCTACATATTCTGCTTCAGCTGAGAAGAGCGCGATTAACTTCTGTTTGCTCGACTGCCAGGAGATAGGTCCGATGGGTTCGAACCGATAGATGTAGCCGGTGCGCGAGCGTCTGTTGTCGGAGTCGCCCGCGTGATCGGCGTCGACGTAGCCGATTAGCTTAGGCATTGTAGTTGCATTCTTGTGGTAAGTCAGGCCGATCGTCGGGGTGCTGATGAGGTAGTGAAGAGCGCGGTCGAGCTCCGCCAGGTGTTCCGTTTCAGGCTTCTTGAGGTAGGTGGCGAGCTGGCTTGCGGAGTACGATAGGTATGGGCGGCAGGTGACAGCTGCAAAAAGGAGGCATCCTAGCTTCCTCTGGTAGTCGCGTGTGTCGGCGGGCTTGAGTAGAGTAGAGCCTCCCTTGATGTTTCCTGTCGTGTAGCAGTACGGCGTGGAGATGGCGGTTGGTGTGAGTGCGAAGCGTTTGGCAATGAAGTTGGCGTATTTCGCGGCGCTGAGATAGATCGCGTCTTCTTCTTCTCGGATGTTAAGACCGAGGTACTGTATGACGGTAGATGCGACCGTGAGCGTGAGGTCCTTCTGCAGCTCCCCCTCGAACCAGGTTGTGATGCCGTTAGTCGAGCCGATGTAGAGTAGATCGTCTACGTAGACGATTAACAGGATGTAGTCGGTGCCCTTCGTGAGCCGGTACATGCCCTGATCGTGCGGTAGTTGTTTGAAGCCGATGCGAATGAGGCGAGCGTGCAGGTATTGTTGCCATAGTCGCGGAGCTTGCTTGATGCCGTAGAGCGACTTCAGCAGCTGACAGACTTGATTGGGCTCACCGTTGGAGCTGTGCGGTAATTCGACGAAGATTTCTGCGTCAACAGGTGCGTAGAGGAATGCGTTCGCGACGTCGATTTGCCGTAGCTTCTTCTTCTTCTTCGTGGCGGCGATCGCGAGGAGGATTCGGAGTGAAGTGTGTCGACTGACCGGAGCGAATGTTTCAGTGAAGTCGCGTCTGTGTTCTTGGTCGAAGCCGCGTACGACCCAGCGAGCTTTAAACTTGTCGATGGTGCCGTCAACCTTTGTCTTCACACGGAAGACCCACTTCCCGGTGAGTACTGTTTTGTTCCGTGCTACGCTGATAGGGACGGCCTTCCAGGTGTTGCGTTCCTCCAGTGCCTTTAGCTCCCTATCTATGGCTTCGCGCCATTTTTCCTTATGTTCCCCCCCAGAGCCTGTTGAACTGTCGCAGGCTCTTTAGGAATGGCTGCAATGTGAACTGCGGTGACGAGACCAAGGATTTGGAATCCACTCTGTGTGTAGCGGGGGAGTGAAGTGTCAGCGGGATAAACAGCTTCGTCTCCCGCTTCTGGATCAGGTGCGAAATTGGGTCCTACGTGTTCTGCTTCGTCGGTGTTGACTTGTGCAGGTGTAACGTAACCGTTGTCAGCGAAGTGATAATAGGTTTCGGCGTTGATGCTTTCGCGTGGGTTTTCGTCGTCCATTGGCACGTCGACGGAGCAGTAGGGGAGAGGTCCGGCTTCTTCCGAGGCTCCTTCCACGTTCTGCTCATCCCAGTCAGCTTCGTCATCTGCCAAGGCGAAGGCTCGGGTGCCTTGAAAACCATCGGAGCGATCGGGGTTTCCTTCTTGTAAGTTGGCAAGGTAATACCGGAGGGTGAGGTTTTCGTGGAAGATGACATCACGTGCTGCTACTGTTTCCTTGGTCTCGACGTCGAAAATCTTCCATGCATTGTAGTGTTTTTCGATGCCCAGGTGTAGTCCCCACTGTGCGCGTTGTGAGAATCGGCCAGCTCGTGCAGATGGAGGCCGGTACTGTACCATGCAGCCGAAGACTCGTAACATTTTTGTGCTGCCCAGTGCGGTGCGGTGATGCGTTGTTTGAGAGCGATGATGACGAGAGCAAGTTGTGATGCATGACGGCGTGGTCCATTGCTTCGGGCCACTGATGGTTGGGCAGGTGCATGCCACGTAGCAGCTTGCGCATGGTGTTCTGGAGGGTCCTGTTCATTCTTTCTGCTACACCTTGCTGTTGATGGGCGTAGGGAAGGGAGATGAGCCGCTTGATTCCCTTTTCAGCCAAGTTATTGCTTGAACCTCTGTGAGGTGTATTCTCCTCCCCCGTCTGACTGGAAGCTCTTTAGTTTGACACCCGATTCTCGTTCTGCTACTGGGAGCCACGCGACGAAGGCTTCGAAGGCCATGTCTTTGCTCGGAAGGTTTAGATGCCAGACATATCGTGAGGCGGCGTCGATGAAGGTGATGGTGTAGTTGTACGCGTTTTGTCCAGGCTCGCGATTGTACAAGATGTCGCTGTACACCTTCTCGAGAGGCGCGTAAGCTGGTGCGCTTGGGTTGTGGTGAGACACAAACGGTTGATGCAGTAAGTCAGCTTCGGGACAGGTGAAGCATGTTCCACGGGCTCGCTGAAGTTCTTTGCCGTCAGTTAGGAGTAGAGAGTCTTTATCGAGCACGCCTGCTATTATCATGTTGTTTAACACCGTGTTGCTTGGATGTCCCATTCTTGCGTGCCAGGTTCCTTCGATTGCACGATGTCCGGGTGAGCGCCAATACATATCGGAGTTGGAATAAAAGCTGGCGATGAAGTTGGCGCTTCGGTGAACTTCTCGTGGTGCTGGGTGCAGTTGTTGCGCGGGTGTCGGTGGTGTGTCGTCGACGAAGATCGGTGCCGTTGAAGGACCAGCGATTGGTGTTGATGTTGCCGCTGCTGTCTCTGCTGCTACCGACGTTGTCTCTGCTTCTGCCGACGTTGTCTCTGCTGCTGCCGACGTTGTCTCTGTTGCTGCCGTTTTTGTCTCTGCTGCTGCCGTTGTTGTCTCTGCTGCTGCCGATGTTGTCTCTGTTGTTGTCTCTGCTGCTGCCGATGTTGTTTCTGCTGCTGCCGAGTGTTGAATTGTTGCTAACGCCCTTGTTCTTTCTGCCTCAGGGATGTTGTGTGAATGCCAGAAGCCGCCGGGGCTGAAGTCTGGATCAAGATCTGGAGAATGGGTCCAGGAAGTGAAGGTGACGATGCCGTTGCTGTCTGCTGTGCCAAGATCTGGAACAAAATCAAGAACTAAGACGTTATTTTTCAGGATCGCTTTTCCGATGTAGAGGCCGCCCTTCCCGTGGTACAGCTTGAACTCCTG